CATTTTGAAACAAAATCGTTTACAAACACAAATCGTTCAAGACTGCTAAAATTTGCTTTACCTTTAGCCCCCTTAAAACCAGATACACCAAAGATAGTAGTACTTAGTAATATTATTGTCACTCCTCCAAACAGATTACCTGTGAAGAGAAAGTATAGTATAGATCAAAATTTCAATGATAGTCATTCATCAAATGAATTTGAATTATTACCTAAGAAACAACGCTTAGGTAGTGGATTTTTAAATAAAATTAATGAAACTCGAGTTAATAGTTTATCTCCTAGAAAGAAAAAACTATATTTTTTTAATAGAATACAGAAAAGTCAAATTTGCAAATTAAAGAAGGCCCTAATTAATTCAAAACGTAATGTTAAAAATGCAGTCAAAATTTCAGAGTCAAAGATTTTTCAACAATTTAATTCGAAGCTCGATCCAGCAGGCATGAGATTTTTAAACAGTGCTACATCTAATTCAAAAAAGATGAAACCTTCTTGGTCAACATCAGATAAAGTCTTGTCATTAGCTTTATATAAGAAGGGCCCACGAGCTTATAATTTTTTAAAGCGTTTTATCTCTCTACCTAGTAAATCCACTTTACAGTCACTTTTGAGATCAGTTCCATTTGAAACGGGCATTAATCAATCAATTTTTATCAGGCTTAAAGAAAGGGTTGCTAAAATGAAGCAAATTGATAGAAACTGTGTCTTATTATTTGATGAAATAGCTCTTACAGAACAACTGACTTTGGATATAGCTAGTGATAAAGTTGTAGGGTTCGTAGACCTTGGTAACAATTTAGGAAGAAAATTACAAACAGCTGACCATGCATTGGCATTTGTAATAAATGGCTTACGAAAGGCTTGGAAGCAGCCAGTGGCTTATTATTTCACTAAAGATCAGGTTAAAACTAACGATTTGAAAATCATTATTGTAGAAGTAATTTTAGAGTTACAAAAAGTAGGATTAAATGTAATGGCAACTGTTTGCGATCTGGGGAATACGAATCGTACTGCACTGAAACAATTACGAGCAGAAAATAATATTAAAAAACCTGGTCCTTATTTTTTTGTCAATGGAAAAAGGATAATTACCTTGTACGATCCTCCCCATCTTTTGAAATGTACCAGAAATACCTTGTTTAATTATGATATTTATTTTGATAATAATTCTAAATGTGCTAAATTTAATTATATTAAGCAAGCTTTTTATCTTGATAAAACTAAAAAATTTCAAGCATTACATAAAGTTAGAGAATCATTTTTGGATATTAATAGAAATAGTAAGTTAAAAATGAAAGTTTCAGCTGCAGCAAAAGTAATGAGCCACACCATGGCTGCTGCCATCGAAAGTCTAATAGTACCTAATAAATTACCATCTGAAGCTATCTATACTGCTGAATTTATTGAGGACATTGATAAGCTCTTTGACAGCCTTAATGGTAATAACCCAGGTGTCGTTGGTGGTAAATCTCTTAGGCAGTGTGCTTCAAGAAGATCTAAACATCTAGAATTTTGGAATTCTATATTGCCAAAAATAGAATCTTGGCAGTTTCTACCAAAAAATGGTAAACCTATGAAGAAGGTAATGCCTTTTAAGGCCGGTTGGTTAATTACTATTAGGGGTGTCAAACTACTTATGAATGAATGTTGGAAAAAGGGATTCAAATTCATTAGAACGCGTGCTTTAAACCAAGATCCGGTTGAAAATATGTTTGGCGCAATTCGGCAGTATGGTGCTGCCAATACTTCTCCAAATTGTTACCAATTTATAACAGCTTTTAAAACATCCATTTTAAATAGTTTAATTTCAGGAAGAAATTACAATTCCAATTGTGAAGCTGATGAAACCAGCATATTAGATAATTTAAATTCATTTTTAGGCATTTCTACAGAACCGAAAGAATTAATTTGTAATATCAGTAATGAGTTAGACAATATAGATTTAAACTTTTTTGAAACAAAATTATTAAATGATGCAGAATTTGAGAGTCAGGCCACTAGTTATGTTGCAGGGTTTGTTGTTAAAAAACTTAATAGTTTTGACTGCAAAGAGTGTAAAGCTAATTTACAAACAGACATGTTAGAAGACCATCATACTTGATAAAAGACGTTTGATTTATGTACAAAGAAATGTTATTGAATTTCTTTCAAAAATTCATGAAATTGTTTATACAATTTTACCACTTTTGGGTCATATTGACAATATAATTCAGAAAATTGCACTTTTTTTGCCAGACCATGTTGATTTTGAATGGTTTACATGTAAAGAACATAAAACAGACGTCTTTTCTCATTTAGTCAAAACTTGTCTACCATTAATAATAAGAAAGTATTATAATGATAGTATGAGGGCTGTGGCAATGTCTAAAAGACAAAAAAAACAAACAAAATGATTTGAAGTTGCTGCCTTTAATTTTTTTCTGTTTCAGATTATGTGGATGGTTTTTTGTGTTAATTCCCAAGATTCAAGAATTTTTTTTTATTTTTTTTTTATTTATATAGTCTATTAGGCATTAGTTTTCATATCAAGTAAATTATTTGTTGTGCAATTTCGGATATTCATTTTTTTAACCAAAGATAGTTAATGTACCTAAATAGTAATGTTTGTGATATTAGAGTAACTTTCTTAAAGATAATATATATATAATATATAAATATATTTGAAGATAATTTATAATAAGAATTTGTTTTTAAGTCATTAGTTAAACTTTAGAGAATAACATTTTTGTGATATTAGGATTATTTTTTATAGAAACTAGTAAATAATTGTAAAAATAGATTGTACTTTGTCTAATATATATATTCATATAATGATGGTGGGTGGGGTTTTCCGGGTTTTCCTCACCTGTAAGTTAAATGGCACCATCATCTGTAAGTCGTCCCGGAGCGCCATTGCAAATAATAATAATAGGCTTTCTTGCCTCGCACAAGCTCTGCTTGGGGTTTCACTCGTATGGGGGTGAAGTGTAGGAAATTCTGTTATTATTTTTGTATTGTCATTTGATATATTTTTTTATTTATTTTTTCTTGGGATTTTTAGTTAATATAATTATATAAAACTTTGTATGGTATTTATTTTACCCCTCATAGTTATTTGTCATAGAATTTTACATTTTTATTGGCGTTTCATAATTCTTACAAACAGCTAATAAAAAAGCAAAATTTTAAATATAATTAAGAGGAGAAAAATTTACTTTAGCAATTATCTTTTTCTAACCAATACGAAATAGAGCTATGGACATTTCTAGTTTATTTTTAATTTTTAGTGAATGAATAATAATATGTACATTCAGGTAAAAGTGAAATATTTGTTTCTCTGGAGCTACTATTCCGAAATCTGATTTATTTTCTCAAAAATTGAGAAAGTCTTTATGAAACAAAATTTTGCGATTTTTGCCATCAAAATTGATGAAATTTTAAAAAAGTGGCTACAGAGGAACGAACGTCTACCTTCACTTACATGTTTTTCTTTCACTAAAAATGAAAAAAATTAACTGAAATTTTGGATGCCTATATTTCGTATTAGATGGAAAATAATAATTGTTAAAATAAATGCTCCTCTTAATGGAAGTAAAATAAGCCCGCCAATTTTCAAATTAAATATGGTATTACGGGCAACTGCATTACCAACAGAGTAATGATTGAACAGCTAATATTGCAGGTAACTATATTACCGACGGAGTAGGATTAGTTGAACCACCCGCCCCCACAGGTCGCTGCAAGCAAACTTGTTGCCAAATTTCTATAAAGATACGGCAACTCTTAATAATCTTTCCTCCATGGGTAGGATATGTTATATGTTCCACTGGCTAAGGAAAAATTGAATAACCGATTTCAATTTTTGAACGAGCTGCTGTTTTGAATAGATTACTATATAGTACAAAAAATTAGTAACCCTATTCGCTCCGTGCGCGACAGCAGCGCCAATTTGTTTTGGTATTAAAGGAGTATTTCTGCCTATACTGACAAATACAATTTTTAATAGAATTCGTAAATAAAAAGTATATATGTTAGTTTTAATAAAAGTATATGGATTTATAAAACAATTAAAACATTAATTTATTATTATTATTATATATTTTTCACGCTTAAATTGAAGAAAATTATGTATAATCATTAAAAATCAATAATAAAATATAGGCAGGCAACAGTATTTACTGGAAAATGTATGAGAAGTTGCCTAAGTCTAATAAGTTGTCATTGAAGAAACCATTTATAATAGCGTGAAGTTAAAATGTATAAAAAGGATCGCTACTTATATTTTCATTTTTGTTCTAAAGAAAACATAGAATGAATGATTAAAACTGGTTTCCGATCAGTATGTCACAAAATTGCATACCAGCCAAATATTATAATCAACGGCAGAAATCTTGAAATCTAGTCCTTGCTGAATGAACATTTAAGAATAAAGGGATATTAAAGAACATCGTAAAATGATAATTTATTGTTTATTTAAAAACTTTCTAGTTTCTGATGTCTACTATTTCCAGCATTACTGTTATTTTATTATCACAAAAATAAAGGTAATTTTTCTTCTTATTGTACACCTATCCATTTATTTCTTTGATTTAATTTCCACTTTGTTAGTGAAATTTGTTATATAAGTTTCACTGTTTTTTTTTGCTAGTATTTGTACAATTTTTAACACAGCAACTCCGGTTGCTTATTGTGTTGTTTTTACCTACTTTTTTGAAAAAAAGTAAAATGTATACGTGTATTTGATATGCCAAAATTACAAAATATCCCCCTAAAATGCACGAATTATCCGCAGCTAGCGCTAGTATCGCTTTTGCTTCCCTTTCCATGACTTCGCACGGAGCGAATAGAAAATAATATAGGTACTACATTTGCTTATATTTTACTTTTAACTTTACTTGAATCTTGAATCTTATGTAGTTGCTACTACAATATAAATAACTCCTACAATTATTTCATTTCAAATGAATATCATCTGTGAAGTATCTGTATAGAATTATCTGTATAGAATTAATAACATTCAGATTAAAATTTTAAATCTTTATTTTAAATAATATAAATTAACATTTACGCAAACATGTTTTGGATCATTCAGCTTGTCTTCTTCTTTGGGCAACATACACCAGCAAACTTGTTTTGTACGGGACAGAAGTATTGTTTGTATGTGTCAAAATCAGTCAAAAGAGTAAAAACTTCAGGACAGTCTTTAATGAGCGTACAGGTACCTTCGCCACCTTGTGGATTTTTAGGACATTTATCACCAGTCGGAAGATTTAGGGAGGACTTTCCTATTTTGAAAACGCCTATAAAATGATACAAAAGTCAATTAACTGTCGAAATTAGTATTCGATGTGTTTAAAGGTTTTTGTTTAAAAAGAAATAATAGGTATTTAAAAAAGCAATAAAGTAAACTTACCGGTTGGTAGAGTAAGGGTTCTATTGGCACTTATGACAGATGCAAGCCAATGTAAAGAATCTTCAAGTTTAGGTGGTGATTTTGGTTTGATCGTAGATGGCACAGCCACCATATCATGATGAACATAGAGAGCTTAAACAGAAATGAACTAAATTAGAATTAAAAAGTGCATGGATTAATATTTTTTCTACGCCCACATTTATATATTTTATGGACAAACTACTGAACGAATAAGTAGGCCATCTACTGAACAGAAATAATTTAAGGCCACTGTAGAAATTTGACATCCAACAATTACTGTTCATATTTGGGGACCGATCTACTATTCTTTTTTATAAAAAGTTTTAAATTTTGAAGTTTTAAATAAGTGACAATTTTGTTAAACTAATTGTAAGTATATTCTTTAGTTTTCGAGTGGAGTAGGCACATACTTTGATTTCTTACTATTAGGCATTCCAGCGACCTGTCGAACAATAGGTGCCAGTGGGAAATTCTTGTATATCTAAGGGGGTAGCGACATAATCTTGCAACTTGGACATCACATACTTTGATTACTATACGAGGCAAGAGAGAGGTCCGACACGCCCAACATAGGGCGCGGCCATTTTGAACCCTGTGACACAGTTTACAGCTAAAGAATCAGATCGCTCACTCTGCGTCGGCACTTTTGATCTCAATGTTTCAGTTTATACACTGTGCAACTCGGATATTACAATATATGTCAACCGCCTATAATAAAACAGCAGTCTTCTGCGTATCCTGAATTTGTATCCATGGAGTGGATGTTATTTTGGAACTTTCAACTGGTCCGAGTGAGCTAACTGATTCTTTAGCAATAAACTGTGACTTCAAAAATAATATTCACTGACACTGACAGCAGCAAGCAAAATGTCAGGTGCGTTTTAATCATCCGCTTCTGCTTCCGGAATTGTCGGTTTAGTCGTTTTAACCTGTCAGATTAAAACAAGAAAACTGATAATTCCGAAGCAGAAGTGGATGATTAAAACGCACCTATTAAAAATATTGCGCCAAGATGTAGGCAACACGTAATAAGGGTTCAAAATGGCGGAGTTTTCTATCTCCTTTTAAAAGGCACTCAGAAAGCTGCGCAGTGCGACCATTCTCCGTATAGTAAAAGAAAATCAAAGTATGTGTTGGACGCTATTTTTATTCGAAGTAGTAGTCGCCACCCTTAGATATACCAAACCTTCCCACTGGCAATTCATTTGTTTGGAATGCCTAATACGGAGATTGAAAAGGAAGATAGAAGATAGGAGATAGAAAACTTCGTCATTTTGATTCCTTATTACGTGTTGCCTTTATTATTTTATTATTATTAGAAATCATAAATTTAATTGTTTGTGTTAATTACCTCAAATTATTGTTTTATCTCAATAAGTCTAAATTTATTTTTAAAATTTTGTAAATTTTCGTTATTATTTAGTAGAAAAAATATACTGCACAATTTGAGTGGATTGTCCGTATGTCAATCATATCCACTCTTGTTGTACAAACTACTATTAAAAAAAGATCTTTCTATTTTGTTTTTACCAATTATGTTACAACTTACGCATTGCATTATGGACAACTCCCGGAGGTGATGCAAAGTGGTGCTGTGGTACAGAGTGGTACTGTGGTGCAATGTGGTGCTGTGGTGCAAAGTAGCCTAAAAAAATAACTCTTCTTCAGTATATACATTTAAAATTATTCAAGAAAAAACATCTACAGTCCTTAAATATGTAGTAGTTTATGTTACAAGGACGAAAAAATTTTCAGGCGACTACGAGAAGCTTGACAGGCGAGAGGTAGTCCAGCCTG